TTTTGTTTCTTATTTTTTTGAGATGGAGTCTCGCTCTGTCACCCAGGCTCGAGTGCAGTGGCACGATCTCGGCTCATTGCAAGCTCCTCCTCCTGGGTTCACACCATTCTCCTATCTCAGCCTCCCTAGTAGCTGGGACTACAGGCGCCCGCCACCATGCCTGGCTAATTGTTTGTATTTTTAGTAGAGACAGGGTTTCACCGTGTTAGCCAGGATGGTCTCTCTCTCCTGACCTCGTGATCCACCTGCCTCAGACTCCCAAAGTGCTGGGATTACAGGCGCGAGTCACCATGCCTGGCCCTAAAGAAGATTTATGAACTTATATTTTGAAAATAATTTTACTCCTCGGAAATAAAACCTAGGAAGAAACACAACATAGTGTCATCATTTATTATTCTAGGATGATCAATTAATGGGTGATTTTTATTTTGTTGTTTCCATTTTTCTCTACTTATTTTCTTTAATTTTGAAAGCAAAAACATTAATTTAACAATATTTTTAAAGACCTGATATCTAAAGATGAGCCAAGTATAATAAATGAAGGTACAAAATATGTATTATAAATGACACGAGGAAGTAATCTGTGAAAAAAATCCTTTCTAATGACGGGTACAGAAGCAGCTGAGAAAGTGCTCTTGATGTAAAAAAAAAAAAAAATGAAATAGATACATTCCTTCAGTATCTAATAAATATCTTTCACCTTTGTGCTTTTGCTCTGCTTTTCCAGGCCTAAAATGTTCTTCACATCCTATTTCTGCACATCTAAATACTAGCTGTTCAAGGTTCGAATAACATCCTAACCTCAACTTGAAGAATCCTGTATCCAAAGCTGGAATAGTCCTTCCTTTCTCATTCTCCTTAACTTACTGTGAATCCTTTACTTGATCATTTATTCAAATAAAAACATTGAGCATTAACCTTTATCCTAGCTTTGACAATATGAGAATGAGAGAGAGATTGATTATATCCATGAGAATTGTAGACTTAAAGAAAAGGGACACAGGGACACTCTCAACACAACCACATCACACTACAATGCAGGTGGTGCAGTACAGAAGAAGTAGGACATCATTTCAGAAAGACTTCCTAAAGGAGATAATTTGGAAAAATCATGGAAGAATGGAAGGACAATGAGAAGTCATTCACAAGGAGAAGTGATAATAAGGACTAGAATGTCAGGGAGAGGGAACAAATATATCCAAGGGATATGTTCCAAAGGGAGCAACATATCCAAGTTTCTCCATTTCTGTTGCTCTCTGTGAAGAAATCAATTTTTCAAGAAATGGAGACAACTGGTCAAGACAAGCATAGTCTCCTCCACCATTCAATTGCTCAAACCAGAAACCTAGCATCATCCTTGATCCTACCCTGCCCCTCATATTGTGCAATCATGAATTTCCTTAAATACTGCTTGTACTCTGGGGAGGGAGCTCCAAGTTTCACCTAAGCTTTCTGGCTGACACTTGCCACCAGTCTCCTTCGAAAGCTGTGGGACAGGAGCCACATCTTACCAGCAGGGCACTGTCAGGCAACAGGATATACCCATGGGAGTCCTTGCAGGACTTCATGAGGATGAACTCATATAATTGGGGATTATTTTTTCTTGGGATAACACAGCCCATATGCACAGAGATGAGATCCACACTGCACAGATGTTGAGGCTTTTCTGGCTTAGAAGAAGTCACACGCCCAACAGGAGCCAAAATCTTTCCCGATGATTCCGTAAGCATAGCTTTCAGGAAACCCACAAGGGACAAGACTGTTGGCAGAGTTATGACACTTGTGAAATCCAAAAGCATGATGTTCCCATCAGCTGCTTATAGTTCAATTCATCATCTCTTCCAAGGTAGTAGAAACTTATCAATCATAAGTCATCATGACCATGAACAATGTTGCTTGGTAACACTGAAACGTACCATCTTCATCTGTTGCCAGGGAACCAGAGCTAGGAGTTTAACAGAGTGGTGGACTCTCTTGCAGCAGGGTGAAGGCTCTTGTTAGCCTCTTGGCCACACTGCTTCTAACGTGTTCTCCAACACATTCAAGATCCTCCACCTTTACTGTCTTCCATCCAGCTAAGGCACCTTCGTCTCTCACCAGGGCTCATCTCCTAACATCCAGATTCACCTACTAACCAACAAACACACATAGTCCTTGGAGCAATCCATACTCAACCTGACAACCAGAAGTGCTTTTTAAAATACTGTGATCACGTTTAAGCTCTGTTTAAGCCCTTCCTTTGGTTTCCTGTCACCTTTGGAGTAAAGCCCCAAGTTATCAACATGTTTACAAAACACATCACACTCCTTTCCCTTTGGTTTTCTAATCTGCAACCACACAGGGTTTTTCTCTAGTCCTCAAATGTTCCTGGCACACATCACACACTCTTTTCTCCCACACAGCTGAGCACAAGCTGCTCTCTGACTGCACCCCACTTCCCCTACCTAGCCAACTTCCATGTATCCTATTACTATCAAGTATTGTTGTGAGGTGTAGTTAATACTTGTAAAGCACATAGTCTGCATTACTTAGTTGTTATCCAGATATGAAGGCATTAGAGAAGCCTTTCTTAGTCTTCAGCCTATGTTAAATCCCCCTGTTATGTATATTCCCATTGAATCAAGTCTCTTTTCAGATCACTCAGCTCCTTTTCATTCCTTTCTCAATGTCCTCCCTTCACGCTCAACAATAAGCTCCAGGAGAGCAAATGCTCTGTGTTCACCACTGAATCTCTAGTGCTGGCAAACAGTAGATGCTCAATGAATATTTGTTTATTAATGAAGAAATAAATAATTACTCCAGTTTAAACCATGTATAATTTGGAGGATCCATATGAAAATATCTTATTAGAAACTGAAAAGAATCTAAAGCCAAAAATGACTGATTACTGATAAATCATTTTGAGAGCCATTGACCTAAAGATGAAAGTGAAAGATATTGAGATTACTCCAAAGCAACAAATAGGCAGCAAAAACATTCAAAAGCCATTCCTGGCCAGGCTCCGTGACTCACACCTGTAATTCCAGCTCTTTGGGAGGCCAAGGCAAGAGAATCCCTTGAGCCCAGGAGCTCAAGACCAGCCTGGGCCACTTAGTAAGAGCCCCCCCATCTCTACAAAAAATAAATAGCCAGCTGTGGTGGTACGTGCCTGTAGTCCCATATACTCAGTAGGTTAAGGCCAGAGGATTGCTTGAGCCTAGGAGTTTGAGGTTTCAGCGAGCTATGCTTCCACCACTGCACTCCAGCCTGGGTGACAGAATGAGACTCTGTCTCAAAAAGAAAAAAAAGAAAGAAAAGAAAACAACATTGGTAACAAGAGCAGAGACATGTAGATGGCACTTTTGAGGGGTCAAGCAAGCTTTTTATACACGTATATGTATATATGCATACATACATATTGCTATGAGAATTAAATTAGTTAATATATGTCATGTCCTTAACAAACAAAGAGAGTAAAACCTACATAGGTATTTCTTGTAACTAATACCAGTGAATAGAGGATTTACCCTAAGAATAATATTGACATATTGTGAAAACACTTTGGTGTCACTCTAGGGAAAACTGTGACATAAGGAGCAATCTGTGAACTAAACATCAGAGCTGAAATTCTGGGCCTGCCACATTTTAGTTATGGGATGTTAACTTCTCCAATATCACTCAATTTTTCATTTATGAAAGAAAAAATAGTAGAAACAATCTCTTAGAGTGGCTGCCATGACAATGGCGTAAGATAAACCACCCAGCACAACAGATATTTTATGAATTTATGCCCAGTATTCCATTATTGGAAAGCTAAGCATGTGGGAGTTATTTATATCCTACTGCTCAAGGTCATCACCAAGGTCTGACTGCAAAAATTCAAAAAATTCTAACCTCAGGCATAAACAGGTTAAAAGGGCTTTTCCCCTCAACTCACAGAGAAAGGAAAGAAGAAAGTATTTTTGTCAAGTTTCAAATGTCTTATCATTGGTTAGAGAGAGAACAGGCATATAGATGATTGATATAGACAGATAGATAGATAGATAGATAGATAGATAGATAGATAGATAGATAGATAGATAGATAATGATGGATGGATGGTGCCTCAGCCTTCCAGTAAGACACACATTCTACTAACCATTAGTTATTTTACCTGATCCTGTCCCTCATCCCACCCTCCACCATCCAATAGGACCTATGTAACAAGCCTACATATGTACCCCTGAATTTAAAATAAAAGTCAGAAAAGACACACACTCTGTTTGTTTCCCCCAATAATAGTGCCCACTGCCTCAAAATAATTATCTTAAAGGGATATAATTATTTTCTTGTAATGTGATTCCATGTCCACCTCCCTTCATTGATACTGGAAACGTGGAAATATCTGTAATTCACATGCACCAACCTCAGCGATATGAATTTTTTCAGGAATGCAATACAAGAATAATGTTGACCCACATTCCTGGCCATGGAGGTGCTCAGATCAGCACTCTACTCCCAGGACTCTCAGTTTTGCAGGTTACCTTTGCTCACTACCCTCTATCTGCCTCACTCATTCTCTAGACAGTTTATTAATGCCAGTGAGCTCTTCTTTGGGTACGAGAGGCATCATGGAATCTGAGCATACACCGCTTGTGATTTTTAAGTGTAATCTTACTCCATTTTTTCAAGTTTGTGGGTGATACTATACTTTCTCCTACCAGTGTTTATAAATAAAGTAATGAAAATCATGTTAAAATGCTGACCTGCCCCAAAACCTTTCACTGTCATAAAGTATCCTAGTACTTAGATGCAATGATCTTTTATTGATAGTGTACTGCGTACTTTCACATACCTGCTAAATCAAGAGTTCGGGGAAATAAAGGTCATTACAAACCTAATTGTATATTGCTTTTAGGTTCAATGGTATATTGCTTTCTGTTTATCTTATTTTTAACAGCAACTGAAAAAGCAAGAGTCAGTAGAATAAGAAAGGCAGGTAAAGCATGCAGGTAGCATACAGCTGTGAGAAAGGTTACTACCTCCACAGACCACACCATCGAGGTCTTCACAGCGGCGATCATCACACTCACAAGTCTTGCCATACACCCGGCGATCTCCTGGAGGGTAGCAGGTGCATTTGCCACATTCACATTTACCTGGAAAGTATAAAGAAAGTGCACACTTATGAGGAGAGTCCCAGAATCACTAAGGCTTTCAAGGAGGCAAGCACATTATTAAACCCAAATCTCCTAGAACAGTTCTAGTCTGTGCCTGAGAATAGTTACACAAATACACATTTCCAACTTCAAAAAGAAATTCTGTGGTGGTCTGGAGTGGAAGTGGCAGTCGCTGTCTCAGAAGTCATTCACATTTGCTATTCTCTAATTTTTGTTTCATTCATTTTTACATAAATCCATTATAAAACTCTCTGGCTATGTCATATACAACTTAGCTTGATGATTCCTTGAACATAACATAATACATTATATATACTGACATAATTTAGCATAATGTGGTCATTTTAAAAGGTTTTAATCTTGGATCTAACTACTCCATGAGAAAAAAAAGTATTCACAGGTATGTTTCAATGTGCTGTTTTAGTGATTATTTGTAATCAGTTTTATAGTTCTTAGAACTTATTTTAGCACAGAACATATGTCAAAGCACATAATCTAAATATCTTTATTATCCTCATCTTAAAATTTAAAATTATAAATATTTTTGCAATGAATTTGGTTCATAGTTTGGGAACCCCTTAACTAGTCCCATTATGCTGAGTTTCGTCATGATTTCTTGAGTGGTAACTATGTGTAAAACACTATAATTCCCCGCATGACATCATTTCATTTTCCAGTACCACACATTGACTAGAACCATTTTACTAAACAGGAAATCAAGACGTATAGAGGCCAAGTAACTTTCCAATGGTGAATCAGCTAGGAAGAAATAGATTCAAAATTTACATCCATTCTCATTAACCTCAAAGTTTGTGCAACTAACCATTAAACCACATTGCATCTTAATGTACACCTAATGCAGCACCAGAAGGCTATATGAGAAAGTAAATTTCTTTTGTTTGAGGAATCGCTACTGGTTTGCCAGAAATTCACTTGGGTGGCAGTGCTCTGAGACATCTGTTACTCTCTGTCATTAGCCCAACCATCATAATTACACACCCACTGAAATAATCACAAGATGCTTCAGGGCTGACCTTGCAATGTTGTTAGTCACTCTGTTGCTGAACTTGTATCTTGTTAAAGAAATTCTGAGTTGTGGATGATGGGAGAAAGAAAAATTAGTATCTAGGATCATATAATTTCAGAGCTGTAATTAAAGATAATCTAATGTAATGATTCATAATATTTTCTAGCTGACATGATGGGGTCACGATCCCTTTGAGAATCTGGTGAGAGACATGGCAATACAGTGTTGTGCTGGCTGACCTTCGACTAATCTCTACTTGGAGGTAGTTCCAAGTTCAGCAGGAGGCAGGGGGTTCCCTCCTTCAATGATACTCCCTCTTCCTATACCCTGGCAGCCAGAACAGGGACACATTAGACACCCTTGGTCAGGGCTTTGATTCTTGAGGGTGAAAGCAAAGGCACAGTGTCCGTGGGCAACATGGGAAGTGCAACAGCATAGCAATGTCTGGGAGCCATGAAGCTCAGCATGCAGTGGCTGACATTCAGAAGTGATGGCAGCAGGAACTGGTCCTTGGCAGTGACTTTCTTCCCCAGGTTGCTGCAGGAGCTAATTGTTCAAAGTTGCATTCGGAGTCTAAAGCCTTCTAATAAAATCTTTTTTATCCCTTTTAATGAAGTTGGTTTCTTTGTTTGCAATCAAGAACCATAACTGGCAGAACACAGATCTATCCCTGGAAAGATATACCAATACACACTTTTTAGGTAAAATTTCAGAAGGATCCATGACTTCCTTCAATTTATTTAATAGATGAGGAAACTCAAGCATGGTGGGGCTAAATGATTTTCCCAAGGCCAACTCTCTATCTATTAGTAGTGTTGGTTTTAGAACCTAGATTTTCTGAACTCCAGTCACCTTCCGATGTGCATAAATGCTCTAATATTTTTCATGGGTGGATGTGCAAATGATTCCAATAATGCAGGCTGTGGGGAGAGAGAAGCAAACTGTAGTACCATCAGCAGTGCGGTCTGGATATGGTGAACTGTTCTTTTGCAGACAGATGTGGGAAGCCATGATCATCAGTTGCATTATTCCTGAGCGGCAATGCATTCCAGTTACAGAGACAGAATCAGTTTCTACGTTTCAGGGCATACGTATTTATGGTGAAAAATTTATTCACATTTTAAGGCATATAGTAATTTTCCTGAATATGCTTTATTGGCTTCTGTGCCTCTTCAGAAAAGATGAACTAAACACTGGCATATGTGTTCAGATTTCAACATTCCACTGTTTTCATTGCGGATAATTTCTGTCCTCTATTTTTGTGTAAAGTTATACAATAAAGTGTTAATATTCTGCATCAGCACATTTTCTTTCCTGATAAATTACAATCCACTATCTTTTTTAAATGTCAGAGAATATATTAACCAATGTCCAATTCTTTTTTCACCATGTATCTATTGGAGTTTTAAAATGACTAATATTAAGGCAACTATGAGATGAATTAACTTTTTGCATGTAATCCTAATATAGTTTATAAGATGCAGTGGCTTCTGACAAAAATCAAAAATAATGCATTAGGATGGGCACAAAAAATAGAATAAGACGTACTGTTTGGTAGCACAATAGGGTGACTACAGTCAGTAATAACAATTGCATATTTTAAAATAACTTACAAAGTGTAACTGATTTGTAACTCAAAAGGATAAATGCTTGAGAGGGTAACCCATTCTCCATGGTGTACTTATTTCAAATTTCATCCTTTGTCAAAACATTTCATATCTCCCACACATACATACACCTACTATATATCCACAAAATTTTTTAAAAATTTAAAAATTAAAATATAATACATTAGGAAAGGCTAATTTATTGCAGACAGAGAGGTTAAAAAAAAAAAAGAGTAAATTCTTCATGCACTCCATATTTTTTTGTTTTTTTAGAGACAGAGTCTTGCTCTGTCACCCAGGTTGGAGTGCAGTGGCGTGATCTCAGCTCACTGCCTCCTGGGTTCAAGCGATTCTCCTGCCTCAGCCTCCTGAGCAGCTGGGACTACAGGCACACGCCACCGTGCCCAGCTAATTTTTGTAAGTTTATTATTTTGCTGCCTCAGTTCACAGCTTCTATTTAGCCACTACCATGAATCACTACCAATTTTGTTTCAGTCATTATCGTATACCTATCAGGTATATTTCCAATCATTCTTCAAGGTCCAAAGAAAACTTCAACAAATCTGTGACACTGACACCCTCTGACTCACACACCTTCACGAATTCAATAAAGTCAACTATGTTTCTTACGTGTCCTCATATTTTTTTTTTTTTTTTGGTAGAGTCTCACTCTGTCACCCATGCTGGAGTGCGGTGAGTGCAGTGTTGCAATCTTGGGTCACTGCAACCTCCGTCTCCTGGATTCAAGCAATTCTCTTGCCTCATTCTCCAGAGTAGCTCGGATTGCAAGCATGCACCACCACGCCCAGCTGAGTTTTTTTTTTTCTATTTTTAGTAGAGACAGGGTTACACCATGTTGGCCAAGCTAGTTTCGAACTCCTGGCCTCAAGCAATCCACCTGCCTTGGCCTCCCAAAGTGCTGAGATCACAGGTGTGAGCCACTATGCCCAGTCATCATAATGTTTTGAATCAATATTTATTGAACACATGCATTAAACAATAATCATATATAAATACTATAGAAATATTCACACAATACATGAGCATTAATGGTAGAAATTGAATCTGAAATAGTATATCTCTCCCAGAATAGGTATTCATTTTCAATTGCCTGAATACCTTCATTTGTGTTTTCCATGGTTAGATCAATTAAATATGTCCCATGACAAACTCATCATCTGTATTCACAAACCTACTCCTCTTCTTGGGTCTTTTGTGAAATTTCACATAATCCACTTTCATAAAACATACATATGATTATGTAATTCCCTTGCATAAATCCCTCTGATGGCCCCACGTAACCTTCAAAGCAAAGGCTAGATTCTTCAACAGAGTTTTCCACATAAGGTCCAACTTACCTTTCCAAGCATATATCCAGGAATTATTGTGCACTCATGTTCAGAGAGATTATGTTCCCTATTTCTTCCCTCTGTGGTGCTCACCGCCATTTTCTCTGTAAAGTCCTACTCAGTGTCCCATAGCCAGCTCAAATCTAATCTCTCTGAAACCTTCCTTGCCATCCCTGGTTGGTTACCTGGAAGAACTGTCACCTCTCTGATCCCACAGCCCTTTGTCTTTACCCCTAGTAGAACACTGAATGCAAAGTTTAAACTAGATAAGCAAGTGCCTCAACCCAATCGTAAGTGATAAAATCACTATGGTCCAGACTAACAGTAAGATTTGTATCTTGTTAGCAGCCAACTAAGTTCTCCCTTAATGTAGTAGAAGGACGCTGACATACATGTTTATTGACTTGATTTCAGATAAGAAATTGAGTCCAATCTTTTTGTTTACTAAATGATATTATTATTATTTCAGTGATTGTTTTACTGCTATGGAGATACAACTGTGGCTTCTGAAATCGATATCAAATTAATACTCTCATATATGAGAAAGAAGGATAATGGAAATCTGCCTTTCCAGCACTGTGCTATTTTATACAACATATTTAAAAGAAAATGTAAAAAAAGAGATACCCAAAGAAATAAAAATAAAGCAAGTAATTTGCAAGGAGACAATTCAGTAACAGACAGAAAGGAGCATAGAAGTAACTGTGTGAGAAGAAATTAATTCAGCCAATATCATCAATATCATCCCACCAAACTTATCTGAAATTTACTCTACACTGAGTCTGCCTCCTCTTATTAAGTTTTAATAAAGTAGATAATCTTTAGGCACATACAAAATCATTCCAATGATATCATTTCATAAAGAACTGCAATTTTTATGAATTATATTTTAAAGCTCATTATAAGCTATCAAAGAAGAATAATGAACTAAGGCAGATTTTTAGAAGTTCCGATCAAAATAGATTTTACTTAAAAATTCAAACAAGTTCAGACTCT